ACTTAAACCAATCTTAGGATTAATCCTTAGATGAGTAAATGAGAGCATATATATGACAGACCACTTGCAGTTGTACCTGTGACAGAAGGGAAGCAGCACAGGGCTCTGTCTCAGATCTGTTTTATGTTGCAGCAGGATCTGTCTTGACTTATGACTTCTAAAATGTGTAACTTGGTTGTTTGAGAAATTTGCCTTCTCTTGCCAAGCAGTTCAAAGCATTGTCCCACACAGGAGGCACAATGACCTCCTTAAGATGAAGTGTTTCCTTTTGCAGTCTGCTCAGATGGAAGAACACGGTTATTGCAGGAATTGCTGCCCCCTGGAATCCCAGAAATCCCTAATCCTCAGGTTGTTCTTTGGATAGTCACAGCTGCATCAGTCTGCTTTTAAGAATTTGCCTACTTCATTTGCAACTTGTGCCAGCCAGTGCTCCACAACTATCAGAAAGATACTGAAGTAAATAAAGGCTGTGCTGTTGTATTTTCCTTGGGAACTTTGCTATCTGCCTGTTCTGAAGCCACTGGAACTGTGCAGTTAGGGAAAACAGGACTTGGTTTTCTAGAAACGCTTGTAAGCCTATCCTGCATATTTTCCAAGTTTATATAACTGCACTAAACCCTGTAAATATTTACATGTTCTAAAGAATAAATATAATAGCACCTTAAGCTGAAATAGTTTGGTTTTAGCAGCTAATTCTGCTTTATTTAATATGAGGGTAACATTGACATCTAACAAAGAAGGAAGTTGTAAAAGCTGTAGTAGTATCAAGATGGCAAAAGTTGTAATTGGGTGATTAATATTTTTTTAAAGTTTAGTCTTTTAAAATACCCTTCTTGATTTCTGTCATCTGATATATACTAAGATTGCAAATGTCGAAGCTGTGCTGTTTGAAAGAGGCAGGGCTTTACTAGAAGAAGAAAAAAACCTTGGCTCTTGATGCTGTGAAAGTCTTCCAATAAGAGGAAATGTCTGAATTGCAAAATGGGAGCACAGTTGAACCTGTAAATGCAGAATTTGGACTGCAGTTGTATTTTCTCATGACTAGGGTGCAGCACTTGGCTTTCTGTCCTCTCCCTTAGGGCTATAGTCAGGGATTTTACATGAGGCCAAGCAGAATTTTTTAGGGGGCACACAAAGACTGGTGTATTTAGGGAGACAGCAAAGGGACATTTCTGGAGTCTACTTTAAAGGAAAGCTGTGGTTGTGTGGATCAGGAGCAGGCACTGAGTCACTGGGATGTGTTTGCATTTGTGTTGCTCTTGAAGCCGATCAGGGCTGTGCCCTCACAAGGGTTTGAGCTCCTAGAGGCTCCTGGGTGTTCTGGGAACAATCTTAAGGCAAATGCCACTCTTCCTTTTGACATTTTACCAGTCTGGGGAATGCTGTGGGTGTCAGTGGGGAATAATCCAACTGGCACAGTGCTGGATCAGGACACGATTCAGAGTCTGCTTGTGTAAGTAATGAGGCACTGCTGTGTTGTGAAATGCAGGGAATTAGAACATCAGTAAATACTTCTGTGATATTTCTCATAAACAGTGGGGGTTTTAAGCTCTATTTAAATAGACTTAATGAATTGGAGGCTCTCGCTCATCCCACAGAAATCAAAGCCTTTGTAGGAATGTTCCTCCTATTGTCAATACTAGCATATTTGGGTCTCATTTTGGTGTGGTGATACTGAATTTCAGAATTGCAGGCATGGTGCATGTAGGCAAATTCACCCCATAGTTTTGGGGCAAGATTTGTATTTTCTGGTTTATATTTCTGATAGTCTGCCTGTTACCACTATATTTTGTGTTCACTGCTGCCTTGGATTGTATGGACTGGTGCTGTAAGCAGGGTGGCAGGTGATGGGACTGTCAGGAATTTCCCCTGTTCTTCTAAAGTGGCAGCAGTGGAATAGATGTTTGGTAGAACAGGTAAAGAGAAATGTTAACTTTTCTTGCTGTGGCTCAGAGGGACCAAAGAGGCTTCTAATGCCCATGGAATATCAGCCCTGCAGTAGTCAGTAGGACTAGACAGACAAAAATTTCCTGATGCCTCCCCCTGCTATAAAGAGCAATTTTTACTTGTTTTGATTAAAGGATAGAAGGTGACCAGATACTATCCATGCATACAGTCACATCTCTTCATGAGCTGTAGCTGTGCTGGTTTGTGTCATATAGCACACCAACCCTATACATAAAATACCACTAAAAATACATTTATATATATATATGTATGTATGTATATGTATTTTAAATAAATCCTAGAAAACTTAATCAGTTTGCCCGGTTTGGATGCATTAATTGATCTTTAGCTTAAACTTCATCAGCAAAATTTAGAAATGTACTTTTTAACTGACAGCTTATATAACAGTTTTATTAATTCTAGGACATGGAGCTTTTAGGAATGTCAAGTATTGGAAGATGTGGGAATAAACTTCCAGAACTCGCAGTGCTGCACAGAGCACATATCACTAGTTTGGATCCTTATTGCAGGTTGAAAAGGTATTGCCAAACCTCACGTGACCACCTCAATATCAGCCTTAGACCTCAGATTTTGTTGAGGGTTGATGAAGAGTGGGATGATAATAAGCAGCTGAGGGTGGGGGACTGGTAGAACAATTAAAATGATGAATTTCCCAGTAGTAGGCTGTAGTAAAATGTACTACTTGACAGGCTGGCTGGCTGGAATGTGATTTGAGTCTGATCATCTGTCACCAAAAGATCGTTTTAGGGATATTTTTTTGAATTTTGAAATCAGTTGTGCATATTTGGCTTCTCAGAGTGGCCACCTACCAGTCTTGGGTGGTCTTTGGTGTGTTTGTCTTGGGGGATGTGGTGGAAGGTGCAGATGTGATAGCAGGAGTCTCTCCTGTGCCAGGAGGAGTGGTTAAAATACAAAAAGGAGTGATGTGACTTTTAGTCTTTTACAAGATCTTTCTCCTAAATTAATGTAATAATAATAAAAAAGGATATAATAAGATAGCAGAGAACTTGCTCTTCTATCAAATTTCTTCTTCTCCAGATTCTTGGGTTTGCCAAAGCTGTGATATAACTTGTATTAAGAGGGCAGGTAATGAGAAATTTGATTTGTTATCTGTGTGCACATACAAATCTGCACACACGCAAAAAAATGTCAGTTTGGAGTATTTGGTTGGAATAATCATTGCAACAGCCATGAGGAATTGCCTAATCAGTAGCAAAAATGTGTTTGCATGGAAATAAAGTTCTACACTTGGCACTTCTGACTCCTACAGAGCAAGAACTAAAATTGAACAGACAAAACTCATCTGGGGAGAATACATGGGCAGGTACTGAATGAGACAGTAGTGCTGGAGTGGAACAGGAATGTCTTCCTTACAGGGGACAGACACAGGCAGCAGAAAACTAAAAAATACTGTCCTATATGGTTTTCCTTCTGCCCTGGCCTGTTAGAACCTTGGAATGAGTGGATAGATACTGTATGACTAAAATTTGCGGTTGAATTGTTGTCTTGGAACTGCTCTGCTCCAGACCACTGTTGAATAATCAAACTTATCTGTGGAATCTTACAGAGCACAGCTGATAATTTTGCAATGTCTTGCATTGATAATCCATTTTCCCCCCTGTGTTTCTTCTGAAAGCTTTATAATCTCAGCATTCAAAGTGATACTTTTTGGCTGAGCTAAGAATACTTTTCTAAATCCTGGATTAACCAGCAAGCCAGTGGTTAGTGTGCTTCTCTGCTAGCAGCCATTTCAATTTGTTATGTTGGAGTTTTTTTTAATTTTGGTGGGGGATTTTTGCTCATTTGGGATGAGGGGTTTGTTTGAGGGGGTGGGAAGTGTTGTGGTTTTTTCCTCTTTTTTATTTTAAGTCCTGAGTGGGAGTGATTGTCCTGATTGAGTCTGATGACCTTTCCTGTTCATCAGCTTTTGAGTCTTGTTGAGCAAAAAGTGAAGGATGGAGTTGGGTCTCAGTCTCCAGCCTCATGGCCTCCACTCAGCTGCTGACTCTCAGGAGCTGGGAAGGCGGTTGAGCTGCAGAAAACAGGGCCAGGGTTTTCTCATTTGTCATCTGTGCTCTTTGCTTGAGCTGCTGCAACAAGGGCTGCTTCTCATGAGTGAGGTTCCATTTGCTTCTCCAGTAAAGATGGCATTAGGGACACTATTCTGTTTCCTCAGTTCAGCACTGCACTGTTCTCTTGTGGACCACATACCTAAAATAGAGTGTATTTGAAGGAATTTCTAAATTTAGGAAATCTTTTATTGGAACAGATCCTGTTAGCAGCTCCACATCTTACTGATAGTGTATTCTGGTAATTGCAGCTAAGGAATACATTCAGCATGATTGGTCTTGATATGAAGCATGGTACAGAAATCAAAGATTGCCAGGGACTCTAGAAGACATTAGGGTCATCCATTGTTCCTCCTATCTTGCTTTAGAAGGAACACACAGTGTATTTAATTTCTCTTTATTTCAGTTTTCATAAGAGTATCCTGAGTGAAACTCTCAGGCTCCATTAGCAGCAGAGATGGTGAGCTGAAGAGAAAAAATTATGCTTTCTACCATTTGTACTGTTTGGAAAAAAATAAAACTTCTAGTCCAAAATTCTTTCAATAGCTCGTATTTCTATGATCCAGTAATTTGTTTTTTGAGATAAAAGGGAAGATAAAGTAATCAAACTAATGTCTGTACTGTGAAGAAATTACTTTCTCTCTGGTCAATTGAAATGCTCGTGTGTATGTTACTGCTGGTGTTCCATTATGGGTCCACTTCTGAGCTGGCTTTTGATCTCTTACCTTTTCCAGATAGTGTGGGTAAGAGAAATGGTCTGAGAGAGGAGGTAAGTGTAAATATTTCGTAGTCTTCTGCTTAAAATAATTAAAAAATTGGCAAGTTTTTTGCTATGCAGTTGATAATTTTTCTGTTTGGCCTGTAACACAACAGCTACAGGTGAGCTGTTAAATGAGGTGGCTTGTTCCAGAATTGTCTCCCTTGCTGTTTAAAATGAACTGTGTGCTGTTTCTCGGTCCTCAGGAGTTGTGGAAGGTGATTTAGCTGCTGTGGAAGCCTACAAGTCATCCGGAGGGGACATTGCCCGGCAGCTGACGGCGGACGAGGTGCGGCTGCTGAACCGCCCGTCTGCCTTCGACGTGGGCTACACCCTCGTGCACCTGGCCATCCGCTTCCAGAGGCAGGACATGCTGGCCATCCTCCTCACCGAGGTGAGCTCCCCTGGCCCTGCAAGGATGGAGCAGTGCTTTGTGTAACTGCACCACTGTGTGCAGCCAGTGGCACACAGCTTTGATTTGTGCTGGCATTAGAATATACGTGAATCGCTGTCTTGGGCCTTGGATTTCTCCTCAAGAAGTGAGTTTGCTTTAAGAGACTCTTGCGATGGTCCTGAGGATGTTCCATTTTCTCATTAATGAACAGTCTTGGCACACGTTGTGACCTTACTGGCAGTGGAAATGAGCTATTGTGAGGCTTCCTGTACTCTGGGTGGGGGAGAGGAAATGCTCTCAAAGCAAAGCACTGACATCAGTGACAGCAGAGTTTGTTCTGAGTTTGTTAATGAGTGAGTCTACCTGGGCTGGCTTTCCTGGCTTTTGTGGGAGTTTCTCTTGCAGAGAGAAGCAAATTTCTTGCTTTGCAAAATTGCTGCATTTTTTTCTATTCCTTGTGCATTTTATAGACTGACTGGTTCCTCTGTTTTGCTCTTCCACGTTCCATTTCCTTATGTCACCTTTTGGTGACCTTTGCTGTTCTCCATCTTTGCCCTGTAACTACTTCTGTTACCTTTTTTTGTCTGTTTTTTTCAACTCAGACTTTTGATCAGGGCCAGATTTTTATTCTGCCTCCTTCTCTGATGCTCAGTGCAATTCTGAAAGCTGCTGTTTGCCTGCAAAGCACATAAAGATAATGGAATGCTCAGTGTTGAATAATTAAAAAGAGTAGATGAAGCAAGACAAATGTAGCTAAAGCCTTGAGTATATATTTATATATGACTAATATCAGTAGCTTTGTGCTGCTTGCATAACTCTGTGGATGGAGTTACATGTTTAAAAACGAGTTAATTTACTGAAATACTGTCTTAGGGATTTTTGTGTTTGGTTTTGCTTCAGTGCCTAGGAATACTGACTCATCTTGCCATTTCTGGAAATGCTTAGTAGTGTTTGAGCCCCAGTGATATTTTCCTTCTCTAGGATATGAATGAGTGAAAACGTGCATCTTAAAGGTGTTTTTTTTTGTATGCATCTGGTGTCATCCCTGTGCCACTTGTCCTTCATCATTGAATGGGTTTCTGCTGCCAGTGATGACTAGAACTGGAGAAATTTAAGTATCTTAATAGTTTTTTTGGAAGATTGTAGGAAACTGTCTTGTGCTGTGGTAATAAACTTCTGTTAAATCTAAACTTGTCTCATGCATGAGATTTGAGATTGCTGTTATTATGAGCTCTTACCTATTTTTTTTCCTCTTTTTCATCTGGGAGTGGTTACCTGTTAATTCACTTCTTCAATTTAAAGATGTTTTTTAACCAGATTTATGTTACCAGTTCCATGACTAGTGAGACATTTCATTAAGAGTCACTAAACTTTTGATCTTTCAGGGTGCCATTATTCATCTTTCCCTTGCATTCCTTGCTAACCAAATACTCTCTGCTGGTGATCATCCCTCCCAGATCTTTGTATTTAATGGGATAATCCTGAGTGCAGTAACTGTGTTGTGTTACAGGTATCCCAGCATGCAGCCAAGTGCATTCCTGCCATGGTGTGTCCAGAGGTCACGGAACAAATCCGCCGTGAAATTGCTGCATCTCTTCATCAGCGAAAGGGAGACTTTGCTTGCTATTTTCTGACTGACCTTGTGACGTTTACGTTACCTGCAGGTAGCTACAAAACCCTTCTTCCTGCTGGAAGATTTTATTGCCTGGTCACTAGTTGAAAATGATGTATTTTGACTTTCTGGTGGTGATGTGTGTGTAGGTTCTATTCATTAAGAGCTTTATTAATTAATTTATTGAGAGTTTTATTTATTAAGACCTGTTTTATTAGGTCAGATTTAGTAGTTGAATTTGATTACTCAGTATTTGCACACTTCAATCCTTGCATTGTTCCTGTGAACTGAGCATCTGTTGTCCTACTTAGACATGAAGAAATGGAAGAAGAGTGATGTGTTCTAAGGAAAGGCTGTATTTAAAGTGAAGACTGGAGCCCAGACATTTCTGTTCCATGGTGTGACTTTTCACATGGATATTTTAGCTTTCAGTCCTTTCTGTTGAGGCTCAGAGCTTTTCTTTTTACCTAGTTATAGCAATAGAACTTTTTAATACTTCTGAGGTACTCTGAGATCAAAGGAATGTTTATCTATTAACAAGGAGCTATTAGAAGACTTCTAATCTTTAGAAGCTGTTTCCTTTAATAGAAATGCTGTCACTAGTAAGAAAATGTGCAGCTGCCAACTGTGCCAATCAGCAGACCTGTTTGTCTTTTATAAAAAACATTGCAAGAATTGTATTTGGAACCCCTTTGGTTGATTGTTACCTCATGTCCTGTTCAAAAAATCGGGATAGTATTTACCACTTGTGTACCTGTTTGAGATGCTGCATTCAGTTGTACTCTGTGGGCCATGAGAGGCATGTGGGGTGTCTGGGAGATTAAAATTTCATTGCTTTTTAGGGGGAGAGAGGGGAAAGGGGCAGCAGAAGGATTTCATAACACATGGGAGAAATGTTCTCTCCAGGGCTTAAGAATTTGTTTGGTATTTTCAAGAGAGACGTCTTAAAGCACTGTGCAGCTTTTTGACACATGTAATAGCCGTTAAGTAATTAAAAAATGAAATTGTTCAAAAGCTTTTATGCATCAAGACTTTCTGCTTTCCTCACACTTTGCCAACTGCACATCTTTTGCAGTTTGGCTCCAGGGAGCATTTCCAAGGATAGAAGTAAAAATCACACAATCCTGGTCAGATATTACCTAAATGATGTAGTTTAGGAACCAGTTTCCACTCGACCTTTCAAATAAAGAGATTTGATCCTCCTGAAAAGCCAATGCTTGGATTTTAGAGACCAAAGCTTTTAAATTGATTGCTGGTCACTGCAAACAGTTTTAGCTTAAAAAGCCCTAATCAATCATACAAAAAAAAAAAAAAAAAGACCACCCCCCATC